TTTCCTGTTGATCATTATTGTTTGACTGTGAAAACAGTGTTGAAGCAACTATTGAAATAACTTGCAAAGGTTCCTAATGATTCACTTCTTTTCAATTGTTTCCCTGATTATGTCATTAAACGGCGACAATTTTATAGTTGAAATAATTAAAGTTTCCCGGTGAAAATAAATAGTTTGTAATATAATGAGAAACAATCAATTTAAACATAAACTATTGTTATCTCAATCAATTGAATGCGTGTAAAAAAAACAGGAGAAAAGTTGAAAATTGTTTTCAATGGGAAATACAAAAAAATAAAAGTTATCAAGTGAACAAAAGTACAACTTGAACCATTGACCAAATTTTAAGGCCATTGGACTTGATATATAATGTTAACATGATGAAGATGATGAAGACGAAGGATGAAGGAAAATATAAAATAATAATAAGATGATAAAAGATAGCCAAAGAGGTGAATTAAGTGTACGATATGGCCAATAATGGAGTTAAAATTGCAATCCAATTGAAGTAAATTGTTTGAAGGGAACAACAAAAGTAAACGTTAAATTGGCAAACCAATAAAAATGAGTAAAAATTGAAAGAAGAATCAGAATGAAGCTCAATTGATGGTAAAGGTGGGTGGTAAAAAAGGGTGAGATTGAGAGGTAGAAACGGTAAAAGACGTTATTGCGTTTCAGTTGAGGTTAACCTTTTGTCTATGGAATCAGCTTAGTCTCGCATAAAAAGGCAACCTTTGAAAGTCAACAACCGGTTGGAAGCATTCACTTCTCACCTGTCATGGAAACGGAAATTGAAAAATTTGTCTTGAAGGTAACAATGGGTTGACATTTTTGTCGCCATTTATTGATATTGTTTCGCTTGCCTTCATTCATCTTTTTGGGGATCATTTTTTAAGTCAAGTGTTTTCTGGTTGATAATTTTTCATTGAAAATCCTTTCCCAACCATCATCATCATTTCCATCATAATCACCATGATTATTATTCAGGCTCTTTTTCACTTGAAAAAAGGTTCATTTCAATTCCTAACTCAAATTGTCTCTTTTTCAGAAGATGAGTCTTTCTTTTTTTCCGGGATCAACAGTCTTTCATTTTTTTGCTTCTTCTTGGTGAAAAATACTCTATCAGCTTGTTGATTCCTGTGATCTGTAAAACTGAATAATCATCAGTCAAATGTAGTGAATCTTGCATGGGTCACTGAGTTGACTAGGTTGATTGTAGGTTATAAAACAGATTCACAACTTTGAATCTTATTTTAAAATCAATGCTCAAGAAGAATAAGAAAAAACACTTTTCATTTCTTTGTTCAACCATGTTTATCATTATAATAATCATTATAATCATCATTGAGTTATCCCGTGCTTATTAAAACCATATGCTTTGGTTTGAGGAAAAGTTGAAAATAAAATTTCAACCTTTTTGTGATTCAGTTTCAGTTACTTGGGAAGAGTTGAAATTGATTAACAAAACTAGATCATATAACATGGCATTAACTTTGATTGAAACACTAGTTATTAATCTGTTGAAAATAATAAATGTTAGACAATTAATTATGGTTATTTTGTTATGGCAAATGAAAAGAGTAACAAAATATTGCTATTACTAAATTGTACCAATTAGAAGTCATTAATAATGTAAAATGTGTGCTTCTTACCTCCTTCTGGTTTTTAAACCAATATCAATGTAATTAACAACATGTTTAATTTTCAATTAAGACTGATGATTCTTTATTGCAATATTAGCCAAACTTGAATTTAACCTCATCTGTGCTCATCAAAAAAGCAGCTACCAAAGGAGTGGCTGCCATCCATTAGCTAAATGGTGTAAAGATGAACCTTTTCATATCAATGATGATAGCAAAATCGGTTTTTGGTCCATCATCTTGATCCAATGTTATCGTCAGTAAATTGCTACTTTAAAATTGCAGCCTGCTAATTAAAGGTTTGTCTTGAAAATAATTTTGAAATGAATGACAAATATCATGATAACTATCATGATGACACTTTCTTTATTTACTGGTTTTATTCAAGACAAACAAACAGTCAAATGTGACAGAAGTAAAAAAAAATGTTTCAAAAGTGAGCCTTCAATGTAAAACCATTTGAATCCTTTCAATCTGATAACATTGAAACGTTGCCTTTGCAAGAATGAAAAACTGAAAAGAAACTGAACAAAATTATGTCAAAAGGAATCTTCAGTTGCCTTTAAGGCAACTTGCATTGAATCGCAGGAAGAAGAAGTAAAGTTAAATTAACTTCAGGGTATTGACGATTCCAGCAGCTTATCATATTATTATTATCATTACATGATTATTAAAGAGGCTACAATGAAACTTGGCCTTACTCAGGAACATTCACCCATTTGAATGAACATTTTCCCAATCAATTATACAAAATTAACTTTTAATTCAATCCAAATGTTTTGTTTCTGAAAGAAGAAGAAGAAGAAGAAATATTAAAATTGAAATTAACCCTGTAAATGAAATAATACGCAAAGATTAATGAAACCATTGAATTGATTAGCAGCATTATTGCTCATCATGATTAACCATCTTCCTCATCATCTTCCTCATCTTCCTGATCAGCCTCATTAACATGATGATTACCAATCGTCATATTTGACAAAAGTTTATAAGAAACCTTCTTACCGTCAAAATTATATTCCTAATCACGGAATTTGCTTGAGAAGGAAAAGTGAAAGAGAAACACTAATCATGATCATGTTACACTGAACATTACCTTTCAACCCTGTCCAAAGTGCATACTGGCTCATTGTAATGAGCAAAGTAAAATTCAATGTCAGGTTTCTTGTTGTGCTTATGATGATCAGGAAGATGATGGGGATAAAAATGACGGTAAACCATGTAAACCTGTATATAGAGAGAGAGAGGTTCAACTGTTCAAGGATTTACCAGGTCATTTGCTCAACAAGTTTCCTCACTCTTCTGATCCGTTTATATTGAATTAATTTCACTTGTTTGACGGCCAAAAATGAAACTCTAATAACTTGCAATTTAAACATCCTAACCAGCAAAAATAAACTTAACAAGCAAAAGCAAAGTATCACCATTAGCAACATCATCTTCATCTTCATCATGGACTTAAAAAATGCACACAAAAAAAACAAGCTAAACTTTACCACCCTGCATTATGAAGGATTTTGTGTTTGCATTAAACGTTACGCTGTCAGTTTCCAGGTAACAGCTTAGGTTACTTTGGGCATTACTTTTTTTTTATGCAATGGGCTTAGGCAATTATCAAAATTAATACAATAATGAGCAAGTCAGGGAAGATTAGAAATGAACAGATTAACTGATTATCAGCTTTTCCTATGTAAATGGTAAAGTCAAAGTGATATTTAAAAGTAAAGCCTTCAAATTATGTTTAAGAATTATTTCTTTTAATTTACCTTTTTTTACCTTAAAATTGAACATTTTCTGGTTTATAAAGCTTAAAAGTTTAATCTTTTTCCTAACAATTTTTACTTCTCAAGAGTCAGTCAAGTAATCCTTCAATGGCCAATAAAACAATAAGTTTAATTCAATTTTACGCGCTTTTCATGTTCCATTGAAAATTATCGTAAATTTTTAGGAAAAATATGAATCTATGGTTTGCTTGATCATTCAACTCTTGAAAATGATTCATTTTTCATGATCATTATTGAGACATAGTCAGGTAATGAGTGCTGATGATTAAAAGCAATAAAACAAAAAGCTTTCAACATTTGCTGGTGAAAACATTTGAAAGATATTTTTGAATGCAGTTACCTTCAATAACAATTATAACCTTTCTTGATCCATTATGAGATATTGATGAACATTACTGAAACCAATTAATAGCACAATGTTAATTCATTTAATATAATAGTTGGGCTTTTTTGTTTTTTGTTTACAATTACCTCAGTTTTTTCCTAGTCTTTTTTGTTCAACAACTCTTGCTGTATATTACCTGTTCAACTATAATCTTGTACAGTTAACTTTACAATGAAGTTTTTTTGTTTCCTTCCTTTTACCTCATTCACATGGATATAACTGATGGTTAATAATGATGGTTATTATCATTTTTCATAAAATAATGAACAACCTAATGGTGTATGTTATACTGTATTAAGCTAATCAATCGATTATATTGTGTATTAAACAGTAGCTCAAAGGAAATTATCTTTGTTTAAATATTGTTCCTATTGTTGTCAGTTGTTTGCTGTTTTACCTCCTTTTCAATTCAACATGTGATTATAATAGTATTTTGTAGTTTTGTTTTTTTTCTCACTCCTGTTTTTTTTACCTTACCTTTAGTTTTATTTTTGATAAGTTCAATTGTATGGTTACTATTAGGGTTTGACTTGATTGCGTGATTGTTGTAAAAAGTTAAAAATAAAATATTTATGTAACTTACCTTGTGAATGTTTTGTTGGTCTATAACAGTCTTGTGTTTCCCTCAGTACACTTTTATTTAAATTTATGTTGATTTGTGTATTGATGTAAATGAAGAGATAAACGACAGATGATGGAATCCACGATTATCGTGAATAAAATGTTCACAACAATTAGTGGTCTATTGATTTGGGTCTCAAATTTATCTGATGTCAGTCGATGTTGAAAAAACAATGGTTAATATGGGAAAAGATGGACTTTCATTTTCTGTTTCTTTTTGGTCTTTTCCTGGATAATTTTATTTGTTTCACTTGATCGTTGGTTAGTCCAACTGTTGTTGGTTGATGATGGAAATTATTAATTGTCTTAATATATTAAAAATTGGGTTTTTGATTAGATTTTGATTAACTCATGTGAAATGTTTTGGTTAGTGTGCTCTAGACGCCATCTATGATAATTTTTTATCACTATAATGGCTTTCACTTGTTTAACGGTTTTTTTGTTTTAAATTTTTGTGCAATAATTAATTAGTTTTGTAGTTTTTTTAATTGAAACGATTGTCGATTAACTTTTATTGATTATTTTGTTCAAATTATTAATTTTGACTTTCTTTTTTCTTTACTTTTACAGGGGATTACAATCTAATGCTAACAAATGTAATACCAAGTTTACTCTTGTCACTGAAAAGAGACCAAGGATTGGTGTATTCGTTGATTTTATCCTTGATCATGATGATTCGATGATTATGCATCCCATTCTTACTTTCTTTAAACCTTACAACCCACTCATCTTGCAATTGCAACCACATGAGGCTGGTGTTTTGACGGCTGATGATTTTACTCATGGTCATCCGGAAGACGTACCTGTTTGCTTTGACTGTGCCATGGAACATATTCGAGGAAATGTGAAAAATGTTGAAAATAGTATCACTCATCTTTATCTTGTAACAGCGGGTCATTACCGGACGGATCGTTTTCCATTGGAATCTTATGCAAAAGAGTTGCTCTCTTATGATATTAAGGTTAAAGTTGTTATTTATCCTTACAGGCCAGAAGCAAATTATTCAACGCTTTTACGTTTTGCTCAGGCTGCATCGGCTGAGCTCTTTGTCATACCTCATATCGATGCTAAAAGGCCTGGATCGACTTACAATCGTATTGCTTTTCTGGAAACACTTGTTTTAGCTCAAGATAACTTGCACCCTTCTGAACTTGTTGTACTAGCTAAAAACACAACCTCTGAAACTACAGATTATTCATTCAAATTCAATGTTGACCAATCTTTAATTGAAGCTAACTATTCAATCAAAGTACTCCTTCTCTGTCATACTGAGGACTCATGCACCGATAGACGAATCGCACACAAAGTATTTATCAATGATGTGCCAGTTAAAGTTAAAGGTCAAAGATTGGCTTCTTATTCCAATACTTATACATTTAACGCTCACCCGGAGCGTGGTCAAGATGGCGTATGGGAAGTTAAGTGGACTGGGCTTGATGATACCAAAGTTTCATACATCACAGCTATTGCTGTCACTCCAGATAGTGCAAAGGTCCCATCTCTTGAGAGCAATTTTTTCACTGGTTCATGTTGGCTTTCACACAAACAACCCATAATTAGTCCCACTTCACGAGACCGTGTTTATGCTTATGTCTCATTAACAAAGAAACTTCATGAATATGTTCACAATGCTTCGGTAGCAATTGCTTTCTATGATGAGGTTGGTGCTCTTGTGTCCATGGCTCCAATGGTTGATGATGGTCTTGGTGATCCTGATATTACTCGAGGTGATGGTGTTTGGAGTTATTTGCTTTCTGATTTACCTGTAAAGCGTTTCATTCGTGCAGAAGCTATAATAACCTCTGAACGGTTTACTTTGTATCCTGGACTCATGGATCGTCCTTGTTGTGGTAGCGCTGTACCTGAACAACCTGTTGTTCAAGGGTACAAAGATCTCAACCGAGTACTATCGTGTGGCTCTTTTTACATTGACGACGCTAGTTCTACTGACATGTTTGTTAGATCTAGTCGTACTTTTGATTTATCAGTTTCCTTGGTTGACGAGACAAGATACATTGTTAAAGTTGATTTTACTCTGCCTACTGGTGCCCATTCAATTGAAGATATTAAAATATTCAATTGGACGGAAAGACCCTTCATTCGTTCTTCATTTGATTCTTATGGTGTCCGCTTATTCTCTGTTTTTGAACAAGGTTTGAACAAATATAGTAAAGAGTTTGAGATTCCTAAAGGAACAGTAAGCATCTCTGGTCCATATGTAATTGCTGCCCAACTGAAGGATCCAACAGGAGCCAAAAGTCTTTCCAATTTGGTTAACATCTACTTAAATGGTGAGCCTGATTTACCTAGTGAGCCGCCTGAGTCAATCATGCAAAGTTCAGATTCTGATTCATCGGATTTCTTTGATATTATCAATTCAGCGGGCCCCGGAAGGAGTTTCTTTAGTGGTTCGGATGGTTCGGGTATTCTTGGCATTTGGCATGTAACGTTCATTGTGGTTGGTTCTTTCCTTTTCATACTTGTGATTCTTTTATTCATCATCTGTTTGGTTGCTGGTCGTAAGAGACGAGGAACCGATTCTGGTCGTCATTCAAATGGTTCTAACGGGTCAATTAATGTTAAAGAAGAAGCAAAGAAAAAGATTCCTCCTGGCTCAATGGGAACCGAAAATCCTGATAAATCTGTTTACAGGTCTTATTCAGATGGTTTAATGGGTGTCAAAGGTGATGATATTAGTGATATTGGTCATCATCATATTCATTCTCACCATATAACATCCAATCATTTGACACATCAAACATCACACCTTCAACACCAGCAGCTTCAACAGGTACCACCATCTCAACAGCAACAGTTAAACCAGCCAACCTACCAGAATAGTTCTGTTAATTTAGACAATGGTATTAAGGGAATCAGTCCAGTCGATTCAATTCCTGCAAACAAATTGTTATCTCACTATGATAAAGTTAAACAAGCTAAACAGCGAAATGAACCTTTACCTGTTATGCGTATTGAAGACATCACAGATATTGGTTCTGTACATAATGCATCCTCTTTATCAGATAATGATTCTCGTTTCCGAGGGTCAGTCACCGGTTTACCAGATGATCCTTTTGTAACAATGTCTAATGATCTTAATTCTTGGAGATATCCAGTCCCAGTTGATCAATATCAATATTATAATCCTCATGCCAATTATGTGCCTCAAAATACCAATCATTTGCCCAATAGTGTAATTGAATGGCGAAACTCTTATGATGGTTCGGAAACTATTTCAGACTATGATCCCAGATATGGAACAGTTGATAAACAAACTACTGCAGTTTCACAAGTATGACTATAGATTTTTCAAACAATTTAAAATCTTCACACCAAAGAAATTAAACGTCACCGACTAAATTGTTCATTTGAACAGGTATGTATTTATCAATTATCTTTCAAACCTTTACATTCTGTACTCTTTGAAATCTTCGGTTAACTCTATTTTTATGATTCTAATAATTTTTTCTTTTCTCTTTTACAGTCTTCAGTCATTAGCTTTAAGAGGCAATTAACTAATTAAATTCAGATTTACTTATCAAACTGAATTATTCGTCACAAGAGGATGTGATTTAGTCATTATAAATGTGGTTAGAGCCCAAAATTTTCTTACCAGAGGATCTCTTTTTATCAACGGAATCAACCTTGCAACAGTTTAAAGCCTAACACTTAAACAACTTTTCGAACAATGTAAACAATGCAAAAAATTTGTAGATTTTTTTCAAACTGGACCTGATTTTCAACCGACAATCAAACTCTATATGAAACAGCACTATTCTTCTCTACTTCTACCTGTACATTTCCAACTTTTTCGTTCATTTCTTTTTTATCCACCAACTTGTTGAGTTTCGTATTCTATTTTGGTTCAACTTTGGTCCAAGTAGCCGGCAAGCAATGTAAAGATGATCAGCAGACAAAATGAACAAACAACATTCGCAAACCTCTTTCTCTACCTGAAGATAAAACATTCACACCAACATTGCCCCAATCTTGTGTTTTTTTTGCTTAGATGTAAAGTGCCATATACATTAATGTAAATACTTATTACTCTAACACGATTAACTCAAAATTCGTGTTCAACTTTCTGAAACAAAAAAGCAAATCGTTATCACAGAAAAACAAAAATAAATATTGTATATCTCATTTGAAAATGTATGAAAAGATTTTTTTACGATATATCATGACTTATAAAGAATTGTTTAATTCAAAATACATAAATTGCGTTTCCTTTATTTTAATTTACAAATTATTTTCTCATGTATCTTGCAAATAATCAACCCTTGCAATTCACAGAAATAGTGTTGACTATCATAATCTCAATAAAAGCAAAAATATAAATGCAACAACGAAAATAAAATACAATGAGAATAGATGAACCAAGTTGACTGGCTTCTTTCGTCTAGACACAACTAATTTGGATATAAGCTATAACCTCGAATGTTTCAGTTGTGAGCATTGACATGATAGAATGCGATTGATTTACAGTTAAAATGTAACCGTAAAATCTTTTGGTGGCATTTTGATTAATCTTATTATCGTGTTATCATCCTGGCCTTGGTACAACATTTCACCTTCAAAATCAACAAAACCATATTTACGAGCTCGAAGCAGCATTCCAACAACCTTATCCGATATTGCTACGTAAATCTGAAAAGTTAAAATGAAGGAACATCGTTAATATGAAGAATAAGATTTAAAAATTAAAAAAATATTTCTACCTTGAATAATCTTCCAAATGTAATTGATGTGGTTCCATCGGCAGCATCAACTCCGCTGTCTCTGATTATTTCACACAAATATTTAACTTCCTTTGTTACATGAGAGTGAGCTATAAGACCACGTTGTAATGTTTTTGAGCCTTCAGCCGGTCGACCATAGCTTTAAAGAGTTGAAACATATAGACAAGCAAAATTGTTTCAAAATAATTGTAATGTCATGATAAATTGTGGTTCTTTCAAGAAAAACGGAAAACAAGATTACAAGTGTAATGGATACAAGTGGGTAAACAGTTTAGGCTTTTGTTGGTTTTCAATCCTTTCATCAACAATATTATGAAAGAATTCATTTCATGTGACGACCAAAAATTTTATGTAATTCTGCAATTAGGTCAGTGTAATTGATCTTTCTTGGTTACATTTTTGTTGAAATGAAATTCAAGCTGTTCAGACAAGGTCAACAAATGGACATAAACATCAAATTTTTAATGACAACAGTACACTTGAGAAGAAACTTGACGATTCGGAAGCTGATACAAGAAAAAGCATCAAGCAGCAGGAAATTGGAAATTCGTCTATTTTTGAATTATCTTCAAAGTGAAGTAAACACAAAACAATAATAATCGACACACAATTACAGCAATGGCAATGAAAACAAAATCAAAATTATTAAAATCAGAAACTTACTTGTTTGAAATCAGAAACAAAAGATGGCGATAGCAAACGATTTTAAAAAACTGTCAGCTGAGCAATATTAACGGTTTTAGACGAAAATAATCCTTACATTATAATTTAATCAGAATTTTATCATTAATCATTAAATACTTTATTTAGATTTCATCTTAACCAATTCTATTTTCGCTAAATACTCTGACTTACGACTTACACTTGTATATGGCCTTTCGTTCGAAGTCTACATTTTTCAACTTCCTGGGTAAGTTTAATCAAGTTATATAATTTTCAAGTTGATTTCTTTAAGATCACAGTTTGGCTCATTTAGCCTGCCATATTTTGATTAAAACATCATGGTAACTAGGTTTCTCTAAGTACATGTAACATTTTAACGCCATTTAATAACATTTATTAATAATAACCATTTGGTGGACAATAATTCCATTTTAATTAACTAAAATTTAGTTAAACTAATATTTAAATAAGCACCAGGTCCAATTGACCAAACACCAGTTCCAGACATTTTCAAGTTACCACTTTGGAGTCTTAATTTCAACTCTCCTCAATAATCCTTTAGTTAAAACAAAGTATTTGTTTTGCCCTTCTGACCATTGTTAAGAATGAGAAATAAGACAGGGGAATAGACAGAATAAAGAAAGAGGAGAATAATTTGGACCATTTCTCTTTCTCAATTTAAACACTTAATTTTTGAATATTACATCCCCCACTTTAGGTCAGAAGTACCATTTCCATTTCCACGATTAGTGGAACCACAATTTTAGTATTTAATAATAATTCAATTGATGAATGGTCCAGGTTCATCTGTCCAGCAAATACTAAAATAAGAATTTTAAATAATTTAATAAAATGTCAATAATAGTTTAATGGACACAATTGTCCGATGGGTAACTTGTCCAGATTCAATTTTGTCCACTTTTAATTATTTTTCAAACATATAGCAATAGAAATTTATGGCCACATTTCAATTGGTAACTTGTCCAGTTTCATTTCCATGATTGGAATTAATAATAATTTTAATATTCAATAATATGAATTGAATGGATGATGTGGGTGAGCCAGCCCAGATTTCATCCTGTCGACTTGTAACATTTTACGACCATTTAATAACATTTATTTATAAATAATCATTTAGCGGACAATACTCCCATTGAATTAATTACGTCCGATTGACCAAGCACTAGTTCCAGTCATTCCATGTTACCACATTGGAGTCATAATTACAACTCAACTCAATAATAGTTTTGCCCTTCTGCCCATTGTTAAAGAGGAGAATAATTTTGACCATTCTCTTTCTCAATTTAAACACTTGAATGTTACATCCTCCCACTTTAGTCAGAGGCACCAGTCATTTCCACGATCAGTGGATTTTTGAATATTACATACATAACCTTTCGTTAACAGCTTAATCAATATAAATTGATGGTAATTTGACTGTTCCAATCATTCATGTAAATGGAGTTTTCATTCTCTTGACCATCATCAATTTCCATTTTAGCATTTCAACTGTTTCAGTGTCAAAAGTTTCATAAATCATGGAAACTCAAACTTTAGCAAGATTGCCTTCAATTTAATTTGCATATTATCAATGGGTTGAAAAGGTTAAATAATGGAAATATAAATGGAAAGCCTTCGTTTTCTGACCTTTCTTTATGAAACAGAAGGCTTTAGTTGAAAAATCAAATTTGAATATTGTCACCATTAACATAGATAATGGTTGTTTAATCAACACCAAACCTTATTGAAATGATGAAACTTCATTAATTAATGTTAATTTTCTTTTTAGGCAACTTTTCTCTGATTGATGCATCATTACTTTGAAAGTAAACTTTCTTACAAGAGTCTAGATGGTTGAATTGGATGGTTAAATTGTATCCAATTAAGTATGTGTCATCAACTACATCAATAAGCAATTCTCAATAATCCTTTAATGGTTAAATGGTGCTTCAAAGTATTAACTATGGAAACGTGGATAGTGCATTTAATGCATACAAAACAGTAAGTAAACCTAATCAATCTTAAAAAGCTGAACAAGAAACAGTGGAAGCCCAAAAAACAACTAAACATCCTAAAATCAATCAGTATTCATTTGCTCTCTCAATTAAATCAAATTGTACTAACATTATTTTTCTCCTTTTTTTAAGCAACAAATCAACCGTAACTACATTTCCACCTTGAAATGGTTAGACTGAATCTACATTGAATGATAAGATGATGGTTTAATAACACTTGATAGTTTTCCTCTGTTCCTAACCAAACATTGTAATGGTCAAAGTAAACCAGGATAAGACCGAGATGAAAAATTGGTTATCGATTAATCCTCTGAATCTTTCTTTGGACAAGAAAATGTTTCTTTTTTTACTTTCTTTCCTCTCTTTCCACAAGTTAATTTGATGCAAGAAATGGAAATGATCGTTAGCTGTCTAATAATATGTAAATCTTAATCGAATTGCGTCTCAAGGTAAGATTTATTTTCCTTTTCTGACAACGTCTTGAATCAGACATTTTAACAAGTTTATTCTTAATGATTGAAAATAAGGTGATAATTTACATTATCTATCCATTAAATTCTCAATCATTGAATTTTCTTGAAATGAATGTAAAAACTCTAGTCTGAACCAGTTAATGATAAATTTAGATTTTCTTACTTTCCTTCCCAAGTCAAGCATCATTCATTAGATTACAGTATAATAATATAATATGACATAATATAATATTCTAATATTTCCATTTACGTAAACAACATTGACATTTTCATTGAAATATCCATATCCATTCCTAATTTCCAAGTCACCTTCTAACTTACCAATCAGACTATGATCAATTTCCTATGTAAATCTCAAAGCTATAATCAATAATTGCATCTAACTAACGAAAAGATCAACTATCATTTATCATACAGCAGCCAAAATAACCCAACTTAATCCCATGAAAGTCTCGAAACTTGAATCCAATCCTAATATCTAATTATTTCCCTTTTATTTACAGCAATGCAACCAAGAAAAGAGGAAAATGTGGATAAAATTATGAATTTAAAATGAATCAAGATGTAAACTCGACTGGTAATCTGGCCATTCCATGGAAATAGCAACTATCAATCCAATGAGAAAAGTGGACTCTATCAATGTTCAACATTTGAGTCTTGAACTCAACTAACCCATTCGATGACTTATTAAATCATTAACTCGATCCGCCCCAACTTAATTTGCTTTCCCTTTCATAATTGGCTTTGTGGCTTAGTTGGTTAAAGCGCCTGTCTTGTAAACAGGAGATCCTGGGTTCGACTCCCAGCAAAGCCTTTTTGACCATTGGCGATGTTAATTATTTTACCATTCAATTGTTAATTGAACCCTTTAATAATCACTGGACAACATCAAGTGAAACCGACTCAAGAAAGATGCTTCAAAAGTCCAAACCTTTTGGTTTAAACTCGACTTGAATCCAATTTTATGGCTGATCAAATGATCACCTTTAATTATCCAATTAACTGGTGTCTACTAATTAGGTTTTGAGGTAAAAATGAGATGAAAGACGCAAATAATCAATTCAAGAAAAGTCTATTGTTGCCTTTCTAATGTCAACTTTACCTTTTTGGTTAACCTTGATTTATCCAATGGCAAGTATGGTTACAACAAAATGATACATGTAGCAATGAATTTGTAATTAATCCAATTTGCAGTGGGAATTAATTTTGTACCGATGAAAGTAAATTTTTAATTAAATTGCGGTATAAAATGAAAGAGATGCAAACAAGTCAACAAAAAAGGAGAACCAAGAAAGCAACAACAAAACAAGAAAAGGAAGAAAAAATTCATTCTCGTTTCCAATCTACAATCAGACGGGAATATAATTAAAAGTAATCAAATCCATCGCTAATTAACTAGCTTACAAATTGCAATTGTAACCTAAAAAACAGGACAAACAGAAAGACCAGAAAAGTCAAAAGTTAAACCAATTTCAACTTGATGGCAAGATTCATGTTCAAAGTGAAACCATGAAAACATGAAAATCCCTCGAGAAAAAGGTTGAGTGTTGAAAATGAGAATTGAAAATTGAACTAATTAACTTTGTATTGGGATCAATGAAAATCTTAATCACAAAGCCATTAATGAGCAAAGAAAATAGGTTTCAATGAAAATAACAATCAACCTTAATGACCATTAATGATAGTCTTTGAGTCTTTAATATCTTTCACCAACATAATAGTTATAATGATAATAATCTGTATCAATGGTAATGATGACAGCGATTCTGGATTATTATACCAATGAATATAATCACATTGGCCAGAACTCTCGATGGCTGTTGACTGTTGGAAATGTTTTAATCATACTTGAACAATATTGAATGTTGCCCAAAAACTGTCGACTAATAATCTGAATCAATTGCCTCAATACCAGGCAAAGGTTACACTGAAGGTCATTAAATGGTTATCTTACCTTGAATTGATTTTGGTCAATTGTTCCAACTTTTTAGCTCCAGGTGAACGAATGGTTGAAGCTTGTTGATTGTCACCTTTGTGATTAACTTCAATTGAAGGGTTCATTTGTTGACAACAATTGAAGCAAATATGTTTCCACTCATTTAACAAAACTGGAGAAGAAGAGGAACAAAAATGTGTTCAGTTAAAGAAGGTAAAGAAATGAGGAAAACTCCTTCACCATGATCATTTTGGTGATGCTAAAACTGAATAATAATCATCTCTCATCATGATTAACTGGAGTCAATCCAAAATAAGAGTTGAGTGATTTTTCATTTCAGTTTGTGTTTTGTAAATTTCAAGGTTTACTTTTGATTCAAACATTTTTCTTCTCGTAATTTCAACTCTTTTTGCTTGTCTGAACTATTCATGAGTATTTCATTTTTCTCGTACTTTTTTGGCCCATTATTCAATTCGTAAAATTCAAGTTTAACAGATGAATGAAAGGCAGGAAAAATATGAAGATAAAGGTCAACGAGCATATGCAAGTATTGAATTTGCCAAAACTCCTACTTGGATGAACCTCTTGTTCATTCAAGTGTTTAAATCGACTTATCTTTTCGACCTGTTTGATTCCATCTTTTGAACCTGATTAACTTGGAAAGCTCGATTAAACTGTTTACCATGAATTGAGATTACATTTTGTCTCCTTCTCACCATTACAATGACTTTGGATTGGTAAAGAAACCATTTTTTACTTTACTTTTCTTAACAAGATTGAGGTTAGGTTTTCGAGTTTCTGGTAAACTCTTAGTTCTATGAAGTCTTTTAATGCTGACTGAGAAATGGTCTTGTCAATGACGAAGTTGGTCTCTTGTTTGACTAAGAAAATCCATTTGAAAACAAAGCTGGAATGTTACTCCATGATGTGGCGAGTTTCCTCATTCACTGAGAAATCTTTTTTTCTCTTTTCAAAACTAAATCTTGCCATTCTGACATGTTTCAGGTTCTATTCAGAAGCAGATAATTTGGGTTCTTTCTTTGCGAAAAGATTGCAATCAATCTCAAAGTTTTCTGACAAACTTTTCAAGACTGTCTATTCTCAAATTAACCTCATCATGATTAATTGTCTTTCGAGTTTTTGTACTAATCCAATCGAAAATTTCAAGATCAGATAGTTTTCGAGTTGCTACTTGGCAGTTTGGTGCGTTCGTGTCTTTATGTTTAAACAGTGTTATCTTAGCATCTAGTGAAATAGAGTCAAGTTATAGTAACTAACATAAGTTATTAATGTTATAATATTATAATGATTCTAATCAACATTCATTGACTGTTGAATGCACCAAAACTACTCTGTATTGATCTCTCAAGTGATCTTGTGATATATTTAATCTTGTTTTCAATATGAGAATCGAGCTGGAAAATGTACTCATTCCTAGTTTAACCCAACTTAACGTTAGGCTTTCCAGGTCAGCTGTGTGTCAAACCGAGCAAAAACAGTGAAAACTTGAACCACAACGAAGATTCTTTGAACCACTCAGTGGTCGAACTATGGATTTGTAGCGATATCAAAACTGAGTCAATTAGGGATATTAAATTACTCCAATCGACAGAAAAAAAAGCAAGAAAAGTTTGAAATTCGATCGCTGTTTGTTCAATTACGCAAGCAGATTTTTAATTAAAATCATTTTACTCATGTAACCTTTGATCATTAACAAGAAAATGCTCTTATTTTGAGAAATCAAAATTTTATATTTTCCGATAAAAGATTAGTTCGATTTTCACATTTTACGTTCAGGTTAGACCTTCCTCATTCTGCGGCCATAAGAGAACTGAAAATTATTATTCCAAGTTTAACAAACGCATGTTGACAATGAATAATTAGTGATTGAACAAAATGATAAACTTGACTTTTTCCTTACTATCAAACTCATTCATCTTTTCAAAGTACTTTTTTTGGCGAACACAATAATAATGAATCAAGATATTAATCTTTCTAAAATTTGGAAAATAGAAAGAGACTAAAATCGTTGAGATGCTCTACACCATGGAAAACATGATAATACATTGTAACCATTTTCAGATAACCTTTATCCTTCTTCTTCCTCATTACAATCTTATCCATCTAAGGCTCTTTACATAAGATTCTTACATTACATTAGATTCTGTAATATAATTAACATTTTCAAACTTAAACAAACAACTATTAGGAGTGAAAAAACGTATTATATTTCTGTCAAGTCAAGAAAAAGTCCAATTCTAACAAGTTTTAAGTTCAACTCTTTGAAGACTTACATGCTCATTGTATAATAGCAATGTTCATCACTTTTTCACGGGAAAAGACGAATCAAGATGATGAGAATAAACACCTCAAAGCAATCAGAGAAGACAAAAAATAAGAATGATTCAAGGTTGATGAAAAAAGATCTGAGCTTACATATATTTCGCCTCATAACTACGAATAGGTTATTATACAATTGGACTAAACAAGTGGTTAAAGTAATTGCTTTGTCTGGTTCACATTTAGCCTTTTGTGGTCCAACACTAGACTTTAGTATAAAATGAAAATGATCCCAGACCTCGAACTCTCTCTCGACTTAATTGACCGTTTCAACAAATGATAAATTAAACTGTGTGACTCTTGCACAGTTTTATTTATCGATATCACTATTGAGTTGGACTCTGATTTACTCGAGTTACTCTTTGTGATCAACTGATAACCATTTTTCAAAAAGGCAATCAATCATTTCCACTTTTTGCCAATTTATTACTTCGCTTTATAACAATCAATCATCAAGTCTACTCACTTTGATGCAAACAATATTTAAGATGATTAAATTTTGTCAATAAACAGTGTTATCTGAACGTTTCACACCGAAACTAAATGATACTCAAACTGACTTGTCTCAAGTTTTTCACTTGATACCAGTTGAATCATTCATCAGATTCATTCCTATCCGTCATGTTATCCAATCAGTTAGCAAATCAATTTAAAGTAATGGAAAAATTAATTATTCACTAAACTCAATCTTTTAGTAAAGTTAAACAATAAGACAATCAGGAAAATCAATTTTCACATTTTCTCATTCAACAGCTTTTCCAACAAATCGTCTTACAATTGCTATTTAAATTGGACAATAACAAACAATTGCGAATCAATTGTTACTGTCAATGATTAATCGATTAACCAACAATATAAACATTTAATCTCAATTGAACTCGACCTTTTCAATCGACAATCAAAGGAACATTGAATGATAATTAATCATTTTCATTGGAAACAGAAACATCAACAAAAGAATTATCAAATTGAATAATTTTTGCCTCTTTAATTGTTTAACTCAAGATTGTACATAAAATGACTTTGGTCAGTTGAATCGTGAAATGGCTTTTCATAGAAAGGTTAAAATGACCAATTTATCATCACTAAGAGATGAAGTTAAGAGAGTAAAAATTATCAAAACTAAACTTTTTCGCTTAGCTGAACTTTTTCCAAATTCATCATCGCATTCCACCAAATTACTTTGAAAATGAAGAGAAGAAGAGGAAAAAAATGAATCGAAACATTTGAAGTTTTTTAAACATAAGTTGATTTTCATGATAGTAAAGATGAGAATCCATCATGATTTTGGTATCCATTTGGGTAATAAAAAAAAGAAGAAGCAGCGTGAAGACAAGAATGTTGAACCAATGAATATAGCTTGAGTGATGGCAAAGTTGAAGCCAATATTGACCAGAATGGAACAAGAAGAATCGAAGAAAAAAAAATTCTCTCTTTACAACATTTCAATTTCAACAGTTTTCTGGCTGGTTTTCATTGATTTATCCTTGTCAAAGGCTCGTTTACCAAGTTTACAGGGAATCATTTTGAGAAAATAAGTTCGATATCTGGGAGTGAAGAAGCAAAATGTAAATAAGAAATCTTTTTTAATAATGTTAGATAAAAGAAAAAGATAAATGATTTATTCAAATGTGAGATTCAATTGTGGGCAGAAAAGGCGAAACACTGGCAAAGAGAAGAAGAAGAAACAGAGAAATGCAAATGATAACATTATTCACTGGGAGTGATTATTATCATAATCTTTTCAAATGTTTTACTCGGTGTTCCATCAACACACAAAACTGAGCAATCAAGTTGCTCCTTAGTAACTTGATTGGCTTGAAATGTTTCCAAAAATATTTAATTCCGTTAATAAGGTTGAATAAGTGATTACAATTTCCTGTTTCTTGTTGTATAAATTATCTGTCAATTGCATAGCATTGATAATTGATGATGTAATCGAGTTAATTTTTTAAACGTTTAAAGCTTTTTGTTTTGATGAATCTTTTTCATGGTAATTTGATTCTTAACTTGACTTAACTTTTACTATTTGTGGTGGAATCTTGTTCAATGTTAAACAGGCAATAATGGCAAGCTGATGAAGGCTCGAGCTTTTTTGATGACAATCAAATAATATTAGCTTGGCACTGGGAGGGAAATGTTATTACTTGAGGGGAAGTTGAACCCAAAAAAGCATCTGAAAGTTATCTTTTTTCACTCAACTCCTTGCAACTATAATTATTGCATTTTATTATCAAGACATTATCGTTATTATTTTAAGGTTGACAGAGTTGACAGTTAACAATGACATCCAACAAAGTTATCCTTATGTGTTCCTTAGCTCTTGCCGGGTCTCGTACTTAAAACATTATTATTGTTTCCCTTATTGTTAGCATTTCTTAACAATATTAATATCATTATTAAGCTAATAATATAGTTGAGGTGATGTGAGGCAATGAGTTAGTCTTGATATTTATAGTGCTTGAATAACCCAAAATTAATATGTTTCAAGTTTCTCTATGGGTTGCTCAATAATGGATACAAATGTAAAGTTAAGGAAAATATCTTTTGTTTTTGTCAGGAAACTTTGATTTGTATTTCAATTTCAGTCAGAGTGACATTTCAATTGAGTTATTTTGTCCTTTTCACAAAATAAATGTAAAATGTTACTTTAGATTGAATTTTCAAATTGCTTTAGTCATTTCAATCACTTTTTTGTTCAATTTGTAGTCGAAAGTTTGTTAACTTTTTTTTTAAAATCCTGATTAAAACGATTTAACTATTGATGAGCACTTCAAGTTAGCAAAAACTATTCATTTTGTTTAACAAGGGAACCGCGCCAATCATACCTGAGGGATTTGATGTG